CTAAAGGGAAAAACAAGTGAGTCATTAATAGAAAAGGGGAATCATTACAGGCTGAAACACAACACTAGCCACCTAAAATAGAAACAGACAAAAAAAAATTCCTAGCCATTTCAAGAACAGTGAAAATGAATCTTAGACAGAGTTTTTTATTCATTTATTTTATGTTTGGTTCTTTATGAAACTATTTGGTTAATATCAAGTATGTCTCCTAATTTTTATAATGATTTAACATGTTTCTGAAGTTATTTTCTGTCACAATACTCATGAGAACAATGCAATTTTTCAGACATTGTCAGTATGAATATTTGTGTAAACTTAGTATGGAAGTATCCCTCAAAAAAGAGTACCTGCCCTGCAGTGAGAATATTTTTAAAAATCATTAGTAATATGTATTTTTGAGTGTGAATAGTGTACATTTTGTAGATTTCAACATCCAGGAACAGGGGCTGGAGCAATAGCACAGTGGGTTGGGCGTTTGCCTTGCACGTGGCTGACCCAGGTTCGATTCCCAGTATCCTATATGGTCCCCTGAGCACTGCCAGGAGTGATTCCTGAGTGCAAAAACCAGGAGTAATCCCTAAGAATCGCCAGGTGTGACCCCCCCAAAAAGAAATAAAATATCTTTATTAATAAAAGAAATAAAAGGAATAAAATGAAAAATTGAGACATTCCTTGCACAAATTAACTTCTTCTGACAAAGGCAAAGATCCATAGAATGAATGACATTAGTCTGAGAAATACAAATTAAATGAGGGGTGATAGAGAAGAATATCGCTGTAGCACTGTAGCACTGTCCTCCTATTGTTCATCTGTTTGCTCGAGTGGGCACCAGTAATGTCTCCATTGTGAGACTTGTTACTGTTTTTGGCATATTGAATATGCCATGGGGAGCTTGCCAGGCTCTGCCGTGCTGGCAGGATACTCTCAGTAGCTTGTTGGGCTCTCTGAGAGGCACAGAGAAATCAAACTTGGGTCGGCTGCATGCAAGGCAAATGCCCTACCCACTGTGCTATGGCTCCAGTCCAGAGAAGAATAGGATTAAACATATTGACTACATATATCCTGAGGCTAGGGCTGGAGCGATAGCACAGCGGGTAGGGCGTTCGCCTTACAAGCAGCCAACATGGCCGACCCGAGTTCGATTCCTCCGCCCCTCTCGGAGAGCCCGGCAAGCTACTGAGAGTATTCGATATGCCAGACACAGTAACAACAAAGTCTCCAATGGAGACGTTACTGGGCCCGCTCGAGCAAATCGACGATCAACGGGAGGGCCTTTACCTTTTACCTTTATCCTGAGGCAAAAAATAGAGTTTAAGATATCTGTCTAAGAAAAGAGAGTTGGGAGACAATTTCAAAGGCATTTTTAAATACCAGTAGAAGAGCAAAACAAGACAGAATGCATACCCCAGAAGACAGTTCCAAAAAGGAGGAATGACCTTGAGGGAGCTGGTACTTTGGACTAAGACCTCTGCACTGGGATTGTAATTACCTGAGCGCCCCTTCACCACACAACATTTGGACAGGAGCCACCTTATGCTCACAATTATCCACGCAACTGGTTCCCTTAGAGGCACAAATCTAGGAATGCTTTGCAATGAGAACCAAACAGGACATATTGATTGTAGAGGATTAACTCAGTCTCTGTTGTGAAGCTGAATTTAAGGGACTGCGATGTGGTGTTGAAGAACAGGATCAGTATTAGAAGAAGCGATTTTTCACACTAGTCTGATTTTATTGTTTTCTTTCTTGCTTTATTATTATTATTATTATTATTATTATTCACCAAAGTCATTTTGTAACCTCACCACTGTGAATGAATCTCTTCATGAAATCCCTTAAAGGGTTCATATTCAAAACATTCTTTTTATTGTTTTGTAAATAAAAAAACATTTTTCATAGAACACTTGAACATTTCAAAAAAAAAGTGGAAGATAGAGCAAGAGGCTGATAAAAAACATTAGTGTTAACCAATATCATAGACATTGAGTTAAAACAACAACAAAACAATAAAATTGTGTGTTAAAAATTATTGAACAAAGACTTGTTCCTGTTCTCTTCAACATTTGCTTCAAGGAAAAGCTCACTTACTTCTATGTTTCTTTTCTTGCTTTTCCCACTGCAGAGAAGACTGTGCTCATCAAACTTGCATACTAGTCTCTTCTTCTACATCCTCACATCTTTCTAAACTAGTTGCACTAAAAAAAGTCGTGTTTCACTTAAAGAAACTTATGTAAGTCTGTGGGCACATACACACACACACACACATACACACACACACACACGTACACAGTCTGCAACCATTTAGCTTGTTTCTGATTTGGTTTGGGACCAAACTCCAAGCGCTTAGAGTTTACTCCTGGCTCTGCATCAGTGTATCACTTGACCCAGGAAGAAAGAAATGTGGGGCCTGTTGTCAAATCAGGCAAAGCAAGAACTCTATATGTTGTACTGTTGTTCCTGCCCCTGATTGTTTATTCTAACTGTTAGAGAAGGGTTTTCTTGATTCCTAGATTTCCTAGGATTAAGGTTCGGAGAGACACAGAATTAGGCTCACATATTTGTATTGTTCTATTTGAGGCATAACTCTTGGAAGTGGATGTTTATGCTTTAGATGACCTTGGTTTAGAGAGTGGAGTGATGGCTATTCTCGAGGAAACTCAAAGGTAACTAACATTCGAGGAATGAAGACTAAGTGGAGATAAGAAAGAATATCTTTTTGCTAATACCAGAGTGGACAATAAGGCTACTAATGATGAAATGTCAATCTTTGTACTTTAGCCCCTTGGTCCAATGATACAACCTCTGAGTTGATGCAGTGACAGACAAATATGTAAATAAAATGCTAAGATAATACTTTCATTTATTCATTTATTTCAGACTGATTTTGTGATTTGCAATTTCATATACTTGCTACATATTATATACCCCTATGTTATGTATGTGAACACACATCCATACAAATGTATATACATATATGTGTGTCAATAACTTATAAAATGATAAATAAGGACATAAAAACTGATAGCAATCTTGGGGTCTTATTAAATTTTTTGAGTGCTAAAGTAAGTTATTTATTTATTTATTGGTCATGCCTCGCAGTACTTAGGGCTTTCTCCTGGCTCTGCACTCAGGATTTACACTTGTAGTTCAGAAGACTATATGGGGTGCCATCAACCTAACCCTTGCAAGGCAAGTGTCCTACCCACTGCACTATTACTTCTGCTCCAGGTACTGATCTTTTCATTTAAGTCATCTTCAACTATGCACTTTGCTGATCTAGATTAAATTAAACGTGTCATTAGGAAGTGATGTAATTTTTAGAAAATACCACTCTTAAATGTCATGTACTATTCAGAAAATATAAATTAGGGATCCTAAATTCATTATAGACAGAGTATACAATTAAAATTGTGTAAGATAGCATTAAAATGTATGGAGGATTTTATAATTATACTTTAAATTGAAAATACTAGGGTAGTTAAATTTTTCTTGTGAATGTGAAATTAAGGGTACCTAGCAAATTTTTTTTATGCACTTACCAGACTAATTTTAGAAAATAATCTAGTTTTAGTGGACAAAAAATAACAGTACTATAATTATGGATATATAAAAAATCTTTTAATTCTTGGTACTGAAATAACATTTTATTATGAACTTTCACAGATGCAATTATAAGCCAAATAACTCATTAATATCTATGACCACATTTATTTATATATTCATGTACAAACACATGTATTATACATCAACCAAAGCCACACGTTGTATCTAGGTCTATCACATTATAAATAGGAAAGAATACATTTCTTCAGGTACTGTGCAAGATTTGCACCTAAAATGCAAGAGTATTAAATTTTTAAATTCTGAAGTTTAATCACAATTTAGCATATTTAAAGAGCATTGCAATTATGATCACATATGATTGTTATATTACAAATCACAAAAACTCTATGGGAAAAGATTTAGATAAAGTTTAAATGAGTGGAAAATAAAATTAGCACATATTACTAGTCATGCCAGCTTATCAAAAGTGATTTAATGATTATGTAATAATATATTAAATTGGCAATATAAAATTATAATTTGCCAGATTTTTTTACGAGAAGATGGGTGCTTCTAGAAGCTATTTGTAAATTGCAAGATAATAGAAAAGCAATCCTTACATTGGAAGTATTGCAGCATACTCAAATGTAATGGAAATTATTTCCAAGAAGCAATATGGGAAATTGAAGTATAAAGTCATTGAAACTTAATTACCATGAGTGATAGTTACATAAACCTAGGCAAAGAATTAAACAAAGGACTTTGAATAAAAGCTCATAGGTTCCACATGAGTTCTATTTTAAAATTTAAATCCAGTTCATCTCTCTGGAGTTGTTACCTAATAAAATCATAATCTTAAAGCATCTCAAAAACAAAAGGGTATAGCAATACATAATTTCATTTTCTTTCTTTATTCATGAGTAACCATATATTCATAATAATATTTGCAACATTATTACAAAAATAATACAAGTACTGGGAACTTATTCTGCAAGTTAAAAACTTGCACATAATATCTTTTAATCATTACACCATACTGAGAAATAGTTACTCTAAGTGTCCTATTTTTTTTCTTTTTAAAAAATGTCTTAGGCAGTACTTGAATTTCAGTGCACTTAAATTATTTTCTCTTAATCACGTTGCTAATACAAAGACCTTGGAATATCGTGATCCACAGCATGAAAAAATGTTAAAGAGAGCTTAGACTATCTAAAGCAATTTTGTAAAAGAAAAAGTATTGGGGAATTAAAAAAAAGTATCGGGGAAAACATTTTAAAAGTTACTCCGAAGCTTTTGTCATCAAGACAGTGCTGGCATGGTTCAAGTTTAACAATACAACAGAAACTCCAAAACCAGAGTTTTATGTGTTTGTTCATCTAATTTTTGTCAGATGCAGTAGAGTGATCCAAAGAGAAAATGCTAAATTTTCTCAACAAGTAGTTGTCAGTATAGCTTGA